CCCCCAAAGTACCATAGAGGCCTTAGAATCTAGAACTAGATTCTAGATTAGACCTATTTCAGTTTTGGTTGGGTTTTTTTTTTAAGTAAAAGAAAGATGAAAGTGATTCAGGTTTGCAGATCTAAAAATTTAAGAGAATGAGTAGATCTAGAATCTAGAAATTCTAGATCTAGAATCTAGATTATATATATCTAGATCTAGAATCTAGATCTAATCTAGATCTAGATTACTTTTTTTATTCTCTATAATTCCATAGGCAGGTGAGGTACACAGTTAGCTGAGTCAGGTAGATGTAGACTACATCTATATCTAGATCTGACAGTGAGAGTATGAGTTTTTCAGACAGGAAGAAATACTACAGTAGAGGATAGATCTGCTAGAGATATGAAATTTCATATCTCTACTTATTCAGTTATTCAGTACACTGAGAATGTAAACAAAGGACAGGGGATTGTAAAAGATCAAATGAAAACTGCAGTGTGGCTAAACAAGCTCGCAGCACTAACTCTAGATCTAGAGAATGAGAAACATTAGATTCTCTATTCTTTTACATCCAAATTGTTAATTCTCTCTCAGTGCGCCCAACGCGACGTTCGTGAAATACTACACACTTGGACTAGGTGTGTCTGCTGAGCCTACTACACTCTAGATCTACAACCAGACGATCAAATTACACGTCTCATTCTGTAACACAAAGGCACAATGTTAAAAAAGTGCACCCCAAACCCTCATCGTGAAACAAAGGGACCGTCGAGCCTTTCCCTCCCATACGCTTCTCTTTTCCCTCCCTTTTCAACCTCTAGTGGGCCTTTCCTGCAAGCCTGCCTATCCGTCTCCAGCGTTCCTTTGATCTTTCGTTCCCACCAACAACCCAACCTACCGTCATCGGGAACTGTGTTGCTCGACTTCTCCGGGCCGCTAAAATTTCCTTGGATAGAAGTATTCTTGCCCTGAAATAAGAGACAAAATTAACACTTAAACTATACGGTCTAAATTTCAGTTAAATTGGACTGCCTAAAAGCTAACACGAACCTGCGAGGAAAGTCCATGACCTCGAAAAAGATCAAAGGCTCGGCATTTGTTTGAAGAGAGACGTGCACTCACCTCTTCCGACTCAGTGACAAGCCCCAACTTTTCCTCGTTCAAGTTTTCCGAGGAACGCTTTTCTTCGTCCTTATTTCCTTCATCTTTGTACACCTTCACCTCATCGGTAGAATAAAAATCCTCAGAGCCTCCCGAACTCATGTGCGGCATAGTCATAAGTCCACAAGAAATTTAATTTTTACACAGGATATCGGCAGCCCCCAACACACGTTTTGAATCCGCCATGAATACTATGCAAAAGCAATCTAATAACACCCAATTACTAGCGAGCATCGGCGTCGGATAGCCAATCAAATCCTTCCTTACAACTTAGTCATGCGCCGTGGTCCAATTTTAGCAACACCGTTTCTCTCACGGCTCAATCCCTCTGTTGTGTGTAGTTTTCAGAAGAACATAACAGTTAAAAAACAGAAAAACTTCGCAATTTGTGGAACACAGAAAAGAAATTATCTGAGACTTTTCATTTGGCGCCTTTGAAGGGACACTAAAACAAGCATTAAAACGCTACACCGGCAACACTGGAGAAGGTAGAAACCACACATGGGAAAGCTTTAACCGCGCACAGAAAACCAGCCAACTGGGTTAGCCTAGTTGCCGCGAAGTCGAGCACACACGCTTTAGCACTCCCTCCCGACACTTTTTTCCCCCCTCCTTTAGTCGGTCTCCTAGATTCCGAAATATGAAGTAATATAAACAGAAACGCGAAAGGAAGCAAAAGTTAATTCCGAATTAAAAGAAACGTTTGTGAGAGCGGTAGCATGTCGTCCTACGCCGATCTGAAAACTGGAATGCAGACTCGAGTTGTGTGCGTGGTCCTAGTGGCGCGCATTCTTGTTATGCGATTGAATTGGATGTTTTCGAGGGGTTCCTTTGATCTTGTGCGCGCGCCACAATCTTCCACATCGCGGCTTGGACGAACGCTTGCTAAAGGTCAAGAGGCGTGGGGTTCTGTGTGCTGGGGGGAGCTGCGCTGTTGCGCCGGCAGCACTGACCGACCACGCTCATCTCATCCGCCCTCGCTCACCGACTACACTACACCAGCTTTTTTTTCCCCCACCACCGACAACACCAGTTTTTGTATAATTTCACTATTCTTCTCTTACACTTGACTGGATAGTTTTTGCTCTCTCTCTCTGTTTTTACTTTAACTGTAGGCCTACTTTGTTGTTTTATAATGTTGGTGTTGACACTTTCTCAACCTCGAAACGAGCGAGCGTTTCTTTGTTTGTTTTTCTTCTTTTTGTTTGTTTGTTTTTACATCAGTCATTCCGTGTTTACCGCTAGTTTAAATTTATGGCAGTAAATTACTTTCTACTGTTGTTGGGGTTTTTTTTTACCCATATCTCTTGTTAATTGAATTATTTTTGTTGTTGTTCGGTTTGTTTCATATGATTTTGTTGAAAACACATCTATGCATGCAGTGTAGAATCTGTATTACGTCGAAATAGGTCGTCTCTGGAATAAATTCAGTTGGGGTTGTTGTTTTTTGGTATGTGTGAGGGTGGGTTGGGGAGGGGAGGGTGTATTATCATTATTTTTTTTAAAGTCTGCTCTAGATAATCCAGTCTACAGCCTGGCTGCACGTCATTCATTGTCATGTCACTAATTTCAAGAAATTGTCAAAGGTGGATGAGGGAGAACCAATAAGTTGCACGCGCGCTCACACAAACACACACACGCACACACACACACACACACACACACACACACACACACACACACA